GCGAGGGGCCGCGCGCGGCCCCGGCGCCACCACGCGCAGCCGCCTTCGCGCCAGTGCTCTTGCGTCGGCGGGTGTTTCACCGGAGAACGTCTTTCAGCAGGGTATTGCTGCAGTGAATGACACGAGTATGTTGTATGAAATCCATCGTAAATTTATTAAAGAAGTGCAAGGCTAGTTCGAATTAAGATGCGGACCTTGTTGCGCATTCCAAAGAAGCAGATCGTCCACCAGATTTTGAAGATCATGCTTAGGCAAAACTCCTTTATGCTTCACCGACAGACACTTAGGCGGATTTACTGATGGTTGGCAAAGGGTAGCGTGTCCTGGGCAGCATTTCAAAAATGGGTGAAGGCTTGGCCCCACTGACGGTGGTAGCAAAACGTGAATGGAAATTCATCAATTACAATTGTAAACCGTAGGAGACAAGCATACTACTAGTAAATGTAATTTTAGTACTAGGCGCATGTTCAATAAGACGCTAACTAGACGTGCGCTTTAGGAGAAGGCACTTTGCATTCTCCTAAGCAGCAAAGGAGCTTAGCCGGCAGCTGACGCTGGTGCGGGAGCTGTAGGAGTGGCGGTACAGTGGACGCACCACTGCTAACAAGGTGCCAGAGCAGTGGTCGCTGCCCAAAGAGAAGGTGGCTCTGGCAGCTCCAAAAGAGTTCACTGCAAGACGTGGAACTGCTCCTGAACTCAAAAATGGGCCATGATCTTTCTGTGACCACATTTACTGTACCTGCTTGCAGATGTCAGCATCATTCTTGAAATTAAACTTGCAGATATATTGGGTATCACAGGTTAGACTACAGGCTTGAGAGAAGGAGCCAAGATACTATCAGTTTTATGAACTTAATTAAATTTCCATTCCTTCCCAAGGGAAAATGCATTGTTCTTCAGCAGCTTTTAGACTATCAGGCTAATCTGAGGTGCATTGCCTCATATGCTTCTCTACAGAACTCTAGGTATTTGCAATCAGTTTGAACAGAGTTCAGCATTTCTTTTCTCTGAGCTGTTTCGCTTCTCCACTGAATAAACTCTAATTAACGCCCCAAAATTTCAGTCCCATGGAGCATTTTTCTTTGCTTTGCAGCCTCCATATTGAACTTGCATGTGATTACAATGGACTAAAACCAATACTCCAATATTATTGTAGCCTCTTTTCTTCTGTCCCATGAAGGACTGCTTATCAGATGTTTACGTTAGCCTTATTTTATGCGATGATGACCAGGCACGGTGGCTCAGTTTGCCTATACAACCATTTGTTTGACCTCCTCCACTTTGGTTAATAACCAAATATTTTCTGTGTGTTTGTTTGTCGCACCAATCAGATTTCAGGTAGGCGTTCATCGCATTCCCCATGGGGAAAAAAAATAATAAATCATATAGGTAGGGTACAATATGCTCTCTTAAAATGATGCCTAAACCACTGACAAAACTAATGATATCTACTAATGACTAAAACCAAAGGTAAACTAATGAGAAGCATGACATACTAGCTAGACATACAACATAACAGCCAAGTAGCATCTGGCAATTTGACTTAAGGGTATTTTTTTTCTTACATCAAGTAATTAATCTAATATTACTGAATATAATCCATGTCTAGGATGACAAGCGACTCTTCAGAAGTTCATATAGACCATTTTGATGTAGCAGCAGAGAGAGCGAAGGCACTCAAAACACTGAATAACAGCAGGAGTCGGGGAGTGGAGTGTTTCCCAGCAGAGCTCTATGAAAAAAGAGAGCAATTTGATAAACCCAGTTTGAAATAGTTCTATTTATTACTATTAGAAAAGCACATAAAGTTTCAGAGAAATCTTTTCCTATTAGCCCCTTCAGTAGTGGAGACACTTCTGATGTTAAAAAAATCACGTGCCACATCTACACCACACCTAAACCAACAGGTGTTCAGTTTTCAAGTGATAGGCAGGATCAAAAGTATAAAGCACTTACGTGGTCCCACTTTTCCTCATTTTTGTTGATACTATTCCCATTTATTATGTTGCACAGGCATTCTCAAACATTTATTTAGACACAGGAAATCTGACAGATACCTCACAGTGTAAACAATACTTCCAGTTTTCTACAATATGTGTAGGAAGAAACCAGTAGAAACTACAAAGAGGAAAAGTGCTTACCACTTGACTGCCACCTGAGGAAGTTGAATTCTGAAAACAAACAAACAAGTAAATCTCAAAATGTTCTCACCCAATGGTTTTGAACACAGTTCTGCATGTGATCAACAAAATTTTAATAGCTTAACCCACAGCATGGTTTTAAGTTGTTCAAGAGGAAAATAGCTTTGCATAGATAAAGTAAATAGTTTTAGTCACACACTTTCTCTACCTCATCTTACATCTGACAATTTCAGCTAAAATCAATGAAGGGCCAAATGTCTATTTTTCTGTCATTCTATTATCACATTCTATACAGAGTTTTCCATCCCTATAGTTGAAAGAGGATGTTAAAAATTGATGAGTACTGAAAAAAAAAGAAAAAAAAAAAGGAAAAGTGCTAAACCAAGTAACCTGCCAGTGAAAAACTCAACAACCTAGTTTATAAAAAAAAAAAAGTGAAGGATTAACTGGGCAGAGCCTATAAAATCTACACAGAGGACAGGAATTTAAAAATAGAGGACAGCAAAATAGAGGACAGTAACAAGGCCAGTAACTGGAATGTGAAGCAAGACAGATTCAGATTTAAAATATAACTGATATTGAAATAGCTTTCCCAGGCTGAGGCCGTATTCTCCACAGCGGTTTCTTTAAATATGCTCTAATACAAATGGAACTAATAGAGAATGTTCTCTTCAGACCAAATCATCCTGAAATTGCTCTATCAACCACCCAGGTTCTTTGTTTACTAAGACAAGAAGATGAAAATGCTGTGATGAAAGTATTCTTACCGATTTCCCAGAATAAGTGTTTCCTGAGGTAGAGAAGCCCTGTAAAAATAATTATAAACCATTTATTCTTGTCCAAAGAGCACAGAGCAGTCTTGAAAATGCCCTAGATATCAGTAGTTTTGATACCAACTTTGATTTTACCTTTTTCCTTGCACTTTTTCTCCCTATTTTAATTGAAAGGTCTCAAGTAAGCACAGCTATATCCTCTTTATTCCATTAACTGTTTCAGAGGATTTTCAAAGCAATGTTATCATTGACTGAACTACAAAGTTTGAAACTGAAACAGTTACCCTGATACTGAAATAATTCATTTGTAATAGGATGATCCAAGCATGTTCCTATGAGTAAGTAACAGAGTATATCAAAACTTTGCTATGCGAGGAAATGAATGCTGCCTCATCCTAAGGTTCAAGTTTGAACAAAATATTCCAATTTTTATTGGTCAGTTTTCTCAGACATCTACCACTGTAACATAGTTTTAAATTTCACCCTCATTATTGCTACCTATTTTAAAAACCAATATCCACATTTCTAACTTGGTTATGGAATACTGAAAGAAGAATATCCTCACTGGCTTTCCTTGATGACTGCCTCCTGAGGAAGATGAACCCTGAAAAGATACACATTTTTTACTCTAAGCCTATTTGTACTTCAGTATATTCTTGCTATCTGGAATAAAGGACCACAGGAGAATGAAAAGTATTTTGTGTCCAGTCATCCAAAAATCCCAGGGAAAATCTTATCTGCAGTGCAAATATTTAACATCTTTCTGTTGCAAGTATTCTTTTGAATGATGTATTAGTCAGATAATTTAATTCAAAGTCCTCAAGAAGAAAGAGCTCTTTTGTAGTTATGATGTGTTTAATATATGGAAAGGAAAAAATAATAAGGTCCAATTAAACATTAATTCACCTGGAATCAGTGTACAGTTGGAAGGGGTGTTGTTGTTGGTGGTGTTAAAGTCCTTTACTCTACAGCCCTACTTGAAGAAAGCTCTAATAAGGAAGGTAACTGAAAATAAGAGTGGATACTGAAAAATTAGATGTTCTACAAGAGTCTTATTCAGTTTTCTGGCAAAGTTGCTCTGCTTAATTAAATGGCATTGCCAACAGGAAATCTTACAAGCACAAAATGTCTCACCTTTACGATTCATGGAGAAGAAAATGTACCATTTGTGCCCACTTTTTAATAACAGGTGGATACATCTTATTTTCTATAAGACATAAGCTAAAACATTGTGTGTGCTTTTTTATATCTCGTGCCATTGAATGACAACAAGAGCAAAGTTGAAATTACACAGTAAAAAAAATGGTCTGAAACAGGAGAAGATGAAAATACTCATAGTCAAATGTCAACTATTATTTCCTTCAAAAAGAAAAAGAAAGTATTTTCTGCAAAGCAAGCCAGAAATACTTAAGACAAATGAGTATCAAATCAATGAAAAAGTGAGCCCTGAGCACAAGGTGTATGATTAGTATGAATTTAAACAGAAATAAGTGTTCAGAAGTCCCTTACAAAACAAACAAACAAACAAAAAAACCCCTGTAATCTCATTCTGCGATTACTAGAACTAATCCAGAGATTGACTGGAAGTTCAGTTAGAGTAAAATGCTAGCTAAAAACTATGGAAATGTGTCAAAATAAATATTGTTTGCATTTGTTGAGATTATCCCAGATAAGTAAATCATGTGACACTCTTTGCATATTTAAGTAATTCTCAGAAAAATGTCTAGTCCATAACAAACTGGATATAATTTTTTTAACAGGCTTATAA